TTCATAATTTTTAAAACGTAAATTCACAGCACATAAAAGCACAATAATTTTTGTCTGATTTATTATCCGAATTAACTGCCACGTACAGGTATAAAATGTTATTATATCACCGGAAATCACATTTCTCGTGTTTTTAAATTTACTTTTTAGATCATTTTCAGCTTTTTTATGCTTTTTTATTTGTGCTGTTTTGCTTGTTTTAAAGCAGTACGGGTGAATTTTTTTTTCAATTTTCTTCCTAGCTTGAAATTTTTCATCCTTTCATGGCTCGAGAGTTTATTTTGAGATAATTTGAAATAGGAAGACAGGGGTAAGTTACTTAGTCATGCTTTCAACTATGATGAGTTATTTATTCTTTGCTTCCTTCATGCTGTTACGTAAAATGATTCTCCTTGGGATATTTATAGGAATGATTTTTAAACTCTACAGTTTATTGTTTTAAGGAACTAAGAAGAATAAGAGGACTAAAGTGATAATTTGATGTAATGTGAATTATTTAATGATAGAAATAAGTTTCCTTTGTACATTGAACGCTGAATACTTTATCTAGATTAGAACTTATTTCCTTCGTTCAATGAACGATGAATTGTTTAAAGAAATTATCCCCCCCCCCCCCCTAAAATTCCAGATAAATACTGTCAAAAATCAATCACACCAAAGAATCTCATCTTGAATGTAAACCACAAAAGAACAAGCGCCGCAAAATAGCATTCAGCATCAAAATTGATAAATTAGCAAAATAACAAAAACAACAAGCATTTCAAAAAAAAGTAATAAAAAATTAATAAAGATTGATGGATGCCTACCCCTGGACTATAAAACAAATAAACCCTATCCATTTTGAAGGAACGACAATGCATAATGGAAGTAATGAATTGTAGGAAATTTTCTCTCCATTTTTATTTTATTTTTTTTTTTTGCAAGCCGAAAATGTTTAGGGCAACGTTATTTTTTGAGGATATTATATTAAGCTAAACTAATATATATTTTATGGTGACGAATGAGTGCTGTAACAGTTTCATGATTTTTACTTTCAACACACATCACACACTTTGGTATCATTAGTTATTTCTCTTACTGCCTACGTTCTCTCTGCATCCGGTTGTATGTGTAGATAGATAGATAGATAGAATTAGATGTAGGGTTCGTTATACACGAAAAGGCACTGCGATCATAGATCTGTTGTACCATCCCTTTAGGTTCAGCTATAGAATTCCAATGTCCTTAATAAATCCCACTAAGTCCAAATAGCGCTGCTTCCTTATGCCACCTATATTGACAACATCCTCCTTGAAATGTTTATGGCGAAAAGCACATAGTGACTTACAGTCACATAGAATGTGTGCCATGGTCTCCTCAGCTGTACTACAAAACCTACAAAATTTAGAGTTACTTAAATTGAGCTTAACAAGAAAACTATTGATACTCATGTGTCCAGTCAAAGCACCAATTAAGATGCTAAGATCCCTTCTTGTCAGTTTCAATGCATCGTTTAGGCTGTTCTTGTTGGTAGGGCCTAGCAGTTTTTTAGCTGTTAGGGATCCTTTTTCTGAACACCATATGCGAAAGTGTTGCCTGATAAGCCACTCACGAATCTCCCGTTTTACGATGTCCAAACCGTAATAAACAGTCTCGTCGTAATCCGTTCTTGAACACGCCTCTTTAGCAAGTTGATCCGCTGTTTCATTTCCTACGTTTCCATTATGTCCTTGTACCCAATGAAGTGTAACTTCATTGTCCAGTCCTAGAGATGAAAGACTAGAAATACAATCATAAACAGTTTTAGACTTTATGTTACAGTTGCCAAGTGCTGCTAACGCAGATTTGCTATCAGAAAAGAAGCAAATCTTGCAGTCCTTTACTTTCATATCGCTAATATGCTTTGCACCTACACATATAGCCTGCACTTCAGCTTGGAAAACACTTGCATGTTCCTGCAAACTAAAAGATAATGAAATTTCCAAATCTTTACTGAAAACACCAATCCCGACTCCATCTTCTGATTTAGATGCATCGGTGTATACACAAATAACATCTGCCTCAACCATTAGGACTTCATCTTCTGAGGTGACAACTTTAAATGGTTTGTCAAAAACGTGCCTACAAATTGGATGATCTGCTTCCGCGATAGACAGTGCATTTCCTCTTAGGAATCTGTTAAGTTCCAAGTGTCCTGAAAAAATCCAATCATAATTCCATAACTTGTTAACAGCAAGTCTATAAGCCGCTGTTCTAGCTACTGCTTCAATTCTAATCCGAAGAGGGGGAAGCTCAAGTACTCTGTCCAGAGCCAACTTAGGAGTTGTTCTCCATGCCCCGCATATGGCAAGTTCAGCCATTCTTTGAAGCTTGTCAAGTTTGAGACAAGCATTACCTTGCTGTAGTTTGTTCCACCAAACAACACACCCATACGTGATGCGTGGAAGAATCACCTGCTCGTATAACCAATGCATCATGTGAGGTTTAAGTCCCCAATTCTTACCTACAATTGACCTACACGCCCAAAAGGATCGTGTTGCCTTTTCCAAAATCATGTCCATATGCTTGTTCCAATTGAGCTTGCTATCCAAGTAAACCCCTAGATATTTAGCTTCAAAGCTGAAGTTAATACTCTGTCCATACATAGTTGGAGGACGCAGCTCTCCTAACTTATGCTTGTTCGTAAAAGGGATAACAATCGTCTTGGCTGGATTGACTGAAAGTCCAACTCCAGTGCAAAAACTTTGAACAATGCTCAGAGATCTTTGAAAAACATCCATAACAGTATTGGCAAATTTACCTTTAACCAAGATGAAGATATCATCAGCATATCCTTGAGCAAAGATGCCCCCCGAAGTGTTCAGCTCAGATAATAAATCATCTATTACCAGCGACCATAAAAGACATGAAAGATTCCCACCTTGAGGCGTTCCTTTTTTTACCCATATAAGAACCAACTTCCCGTTATGAGTCGCGTAGACGATCCTGGATTTTAACATGTTGCTAATCCAGTCGATTAGCCTTTGAGGTACACCTCTCCGCTGTAAAGCATTAGTGATTACATTGAAACTTGTGTTGTCGAAAGCACCCTCAATGTCAACTAATCCCCCTACCATGAATTCCTTATCGATAAAGCCTTTCTCGATTCTGGAAACAATACAGTGCAAAGCAGCGTCAGTGGACTTACCTTGTTGGTAAGCAAACTGATATGCTGAAAGAGGTCTAATACTCAGAACCTCATCCCGTACAAATCTATCAACCAATTTCTCTAGAACCTTCAACAGAAAAGACATCAAGCTGATGGGTCTAAAAGATTTTGGATCCGCATAAGTTTCCTTTCCTGGTTTAGGAATAAACACCACTCTGACATCCCTCCATTTTCTGGGGATATAGCCAGTATCCAAACTAAACCTAAACATAACAAGCAAAAAAGGCATCAATTGATCTAAGCCTTTCTGCAGCAGTACAGGAAGAATACCATCCTCCCCTGCTGCCTTGAAAGGTTTGAGCGAGCAGATGGCCCATCTTATTCTATCTTCAGTTACTACATGCAGTGCTAAGTTACCCTCACTGGGTGATGCTATTTTCATATCATGAAAATTCCCGTTTCCATCATCAATAATGCTAGAGTCCGGGAAGTGTATCTCAAGAAGCAGTTGTAGACTTTCCCTGCTGCTTTGAGTAAATGTTCCGTCTTGCTTTCTTAATGCTCCAATAGTTGTGTCAGCATTTTTCTTTGCCATTAGCTTGTGAATTCGAGCACAGTCCTCGATTTTCTCAATCTCCTCACACTTTTTCCTCCATGCATTTTGAGATGCGTCCTTGATGGCTCTATTATAGATACTTAGTGATCTACTATACCCAGATTTCAAAGAAGCCTCATGGATGCTAAATCCTTGCCTAGCGAGCTTTCTGCTCTTGTTCCATTTTCTCCTAACATCTTTCTTCATTTTTGCCAAATCATCAGTATACCAGTAGCATTTGCTCTTCTTAGCAGGTTTGCGTATAGCACAGTTTGCGTGATAAGCTTCTAGAATAGCTGTGTTTACATACAAAGATAACTCCTCCATTTCATCTATTGATGAAATGTTTGGTACTAAGCTTTGAAGCTTATTAGTAAGTACACATTTATAGCCTAACCAATCAGTATTTCTTGGATTCCTAAAACCATCACCAGAAAATAATTCTGATGCGACTTCAAACGTAATATACTTGTGATCTGAAAGCGATGGCTCTTCAGACACTTGCCAATTTAAGATTCTGTCGCTAATTGCTCTATTAGAGAAAGTAATATCAATCACTTCCTCTCTGATACTGTTGTGAAAAGTAGCCGCATTACCTTCATTCGCAATCATCAGTTCTTTAATTGCAATGAATTCTAAAAGACTATCTCCTCTAGGATTGTTATTACTACTACCCCAAACGACATTGTGAGCGTTAGCATCACAGCCGATAACCAGATTATACTTATTTGTGATACAAAAGTCGACCAACTCAGCAATGTTACTACTTGGAGGCTGGTAATCAGAATCATAGGGAAAATAACCACTACAGAAAATGATTTCTTCAAGCACTCCAGATGCATTCCTGAAAGATACTTGAATCACAACCTCATCAAGATTAGTGAATTGCTGCAGCATAAAACAATCAATACCTTTTCTTATCAAGATACATGATCTTATTTTACCCCCATTATTCTTACAAAGAATAGAACCATTATTTGTCTCCAAAATTACCTTATTATCCTTAATATATGGCTCCTGAATAAGAACCATATCATAATATCCTTGATCAAAATATCTGCCGATCTCAAGCGCAGCTGCTTTGCAATGTTGTAGATTAATTTGACAAATTTTCATACAATCTAAACATTACAGCAGCTACACAAGGTTCATGATAACAAACAAGTTCATAACTATTTAAATTAAAAGCATATACATTAATTTTAATTAAATTCATGATTTATTTTATCAAAATGTTCCCTATAAAGGCCTTAATACAGGTGTTGGCAAGATGCCGCCCTATATGTCATCAACCTTTCCATCTACCACACTAGGTTCACAATCCATGATTCCAGTGTCCATATTGATAATGGAAGCATTATCATTTAAATCATCTGAATCGGTTTTGGCAACTTTGCCGCCCGATCCATTCTCAATTAAATGAAATCTTACCTGTGTAAGTCCATACGCTAGATACCATTTGTTTCTGCTGAGAGCATCCACACTTTCATCCGTCATCTCCATAACGATGTTCCTGCCTTCATTATCGTACTGCCTCTTGTTCGATAGAATCCGCCATGATCGAAATTCAAATGTAGGATTTTGCACTTTAAAACGATGCATAATCGCCGTATCGACACTACATTCACCTGGCACAAAAACGCGACATTTAGGTCTTTGAGTCATATCAGCGACATCTACCAGCTCTAGCAGACATCCTCTTAATCTCACACATTGAACCATTTTGTTTAGCCATTCCTTTGATTCCTGACCAATGCACTTAATTTTCCAGTATCCATCAATCAATCTCCTCTGATGAAATTGTGGTGCTGATTCACCGATTTTCAGCATGTCAATCTTCTTGAGAAGATGTCTCTCAAGAGCTTGAACTCCATCCTCATCAATAATGCTTTCGGGATAATTGATAGGCTTAATGATAACCTCTGTACTTTTGAGGACATCGCTAAAGGACTTCTTGTCCTCTTTAGGACGCTTGATCGTCTTGCCTAGTTCTGACATTTCAGGCGATGTTCGCTGCCTTTTGGTGCTGTTGCTCAAACCAGCCTCAGACAACTTGAGAGTTTTAGCTCTTCTTAGTTCGGCTCCGCTAGGTTTCTTCTTAACAGCTTTACGTCTGAGGTTATAGCTTTCCGGATTTACATTATTTTGCCTGAAATCAGACCTATCCTCATCACAGATCTCCTTCTGCTCTTCCTGAGATATTTCCAGATCGATTAGTGTTAAGTCAGCCATTGCTGCACTTCCCTAATCAATGCTTATTAGTCTAAAAAGAATAAAGAGAAGTAAGCGCCAAAATCTGCTTTTCAACAAAATACTGTTTAATTCAATTTACACAAACGCAGATCACTTAACTTCATGTGCCGATGTCCAGTGGTTCCAAGATAAATTGTCCAATTGCTCCAATTATGCCTCAAATCTTTCAAATTAATTAATTTGAAAAAATGAATAAGTAGAAAAAAAAATCTACTAGCGCAAACTTCCGCGCTCCTTTGTTGTATGTGTACTTTCTCAAACCTCCCACCACCCATCATTCTATGCCCTCTTTCTGTGTGCTCACCCGTCCAAAGTGAATGTTATATAAATTCATTTATTTTGTAGTAACTACAACGCATGAATAAAAGCATTATTTGATTCATTTTTTATGTTAAAGTGGCATAAGGCTATTAAGCATGTTGTGAACGTATATTTGCTATTTTTTATATTGTATGGTTCGCAATTTTTGTACACCCCGGCCCCGAGTGTGAGTTGTGTGTGAAAATGCGAGAATATTACACATTTTTTCACTGAGCTTTTTTATTTTTTGTTTTGTATGGATTGAAGATGTTTGCTTTTGGTGTGCGGTTTGTCTATGATTCTTGGTGGGAGTTGATCTATGAGGACAAGATATAGGTTGACTCAAATTTTGATTACTTATTGAATTCAAACTAAATTTGAGCTTTGTGCAAGAACCTTTTCTAGAAAATATCAATCAATCCCACTTCCTCGTCTAAAGGAGTCAGTCTCTTCTTAACCTTAACTCAATAAGAATGCCTTCCCAACTTGTCACATTTCAATTCCTTCTTATTTCCATCTCCCATTTCCTTAGCTGATATGTGAGAGATGCAAGCCATAAAACCAACAGAAAAAAATAGAAATATTCACCAGAAACACAAAAAAAATTCTCGTATTTTTGTGTGAAGCATGTGTAGCAGATGAGCGACTGTTGTTATGAATGATCATTGTGTGGACTAGTAAGAAAGAAAAAAAACATAATAGAAAATTCTCCCTTTCCATCTCAATGGAAGTATTATTTTATGAACATGAACATTTATCCTTTAATATCAGCTCAATATTAGCAATAGAACACATGATGTGCTCTTATTTGGAAATGGATCAGAAAAGGCAGGCTGAAAAAAGTGCTTAATGCGTAGATTCAGAAATCAGCATTTGTAGTTTTTTGGTGCCATAAAGTAATCTTTCATGAACCATCGTTGTTACAAGAAATTTATATTAAATATGAACGGTGGGATTGACTAGTCATTGCAATAGTTTCCATTTTTCGGAATTTAAAGGCTGGAATGTATCATCTTTGAAGCAGTGCATCCAGCTCAACATCTTAAAGTTCAAATCAAACTCGAAGATGAACTTTGAAGAAAAATTTCAAAAAATAAAAAAAAAATGTTTTAAAAGTTTGCGTAGTATTTCGAATATTTACATTGGCTTCGCAACTCAGGATGTTCTCGACTTTCTAAAGTTACACAAAAGTTCTCGAGAAATTTATTGTATTTCAAATGAAGCACATTAAGGAACAGGAAATGTAATATTTTTAAATATTTATTTGCAATTTGAGAATCTTTAGAAATATTTTAAAGGATGATGAATAAGAAAGTTTGAGGAACTTATAAGAGGATTCATGATTTTGTTCAATAAGTTCGTTGATAGACTTATGAAATGTTTTTAGTAATTTAATATTTGTATAGGTTTTGAAATTTAATTTGTTTATGGTTCAATAAAAATTGCTAGCCTTAAAAATCAACAATTAAGGTAAGAAGTCGTTCACAAAGAGAGACCAGGGAAGTAATACAGCTTAAATTTGTCACAAAATTTCACTTCCTTCCACAAAACTCAATAGACCGCTCTACCCTCCCAAAAACTCTCAAACGAACTCAATCTCAACCTGTGGCCACAAGTTCAAAAGCATCACAATTATAAACTGTATCTTCGTGACATTCCCAACCTTACCCAGTTCAAATAAACTTAATTAATCCAAAAAACTTCAGGTCAAACAGTTCGCATTAATTTCTGCAAGTGTTTTCTTTAATAAATGAACAATTTCATTGCCAACGTTAAAAAAGTTTAAACGATTCCCCAGCGACATATGGTGTCAATTTGCTACTGCAATAAATTTTTCATAATTTCATGAAATTTTTCAAAAAAAAACAATTTTTAAACTTTTTTGTGAAAATTTTCCTATTTATCAAACAATAAACTTTTCTTTCATCCATTTTTTGAGAGATTTTTCTTTTTCATATAATATATTTAGTAACAAATAGAATCAGCAGGAGCCAAAACAACATAAAAACATTTTCTTAACTTTCATTTCATAAAAATGTCACACATGAGAAAAGAGAAATATTACTCGGTGGAATAATAATTTATATAATAATTTAAGTTACCATTTGTTTGGCATTTGATATTAACTACAGTTCTTCTTAGCTCTCCAGCTTCTTTATCCTTATGACTTTATTTTTTTTCTTGTGATTTCATTAGCATTTTTTCGAGGGAAAATTGAGGAAGTTTGGCTGAATTTTTTGGCGGGAATTTTTTGAAATACTTAAAAGTTCTTTTAGATCTTTTGAAAAGCTACTATTCTGTACCTTAATGTCAAGCTAGAGCAGACATATAAGACTGAGTGTAGTCAACGTGTGAAACTTAGTAGGGTCGATATCTGAGCCCTAGTAGGGTCGACATTTGAGACTTAGTATGGTCGACATTTGAGACTTAGTATGGTCGACATTTGAGACTTAGTATGGTCGACATTTGAGACTTAGTATCGTCGACATTTGAGACTTAGTATGGTCGACATTTGAGACTTAGTACCGTCGACATTTGAGACTTAGTATGGTCGACATTTTAGACTTAGTATGGTCGACATGTGAGACTTAGTATTGTCGACATTTAAGACTTAGTACCGTCGACATTTGAGACTTAGTATGGTCGACATTTTAGACTTAGTATGGTCGACATTTTAGACTTAGTATGGTCGACATTTGAGACTTAGTGTGGTCGACATTTGAGACTTAGTATGGTCGACATTTGAGACTTAGTACTGTCGACATCTGAGACTTAGTATTGTCGACATTTGAGACTTAGTACTGTACACATTTGAGACTTAGTATGGTCGACATTTGAGACTTAGTACCGTCGACATGTGAGACTTAGTATTGTCGACATGTGAGACTTAGTATGGTCAACATGTAAGACTTAGTTTGGTTGACATTTGAGACTTAGTATGGTCAACATTTGAGACTTAGTACCGTCGACATGTGAGACTTAGTATGGTCGACATTTGAGACTTAGTACCGTCGACATTTGAGACTTAGTATGGTCGACATTTAAGACTTAGTATGGCCGACATGTAAGACTTAGTTTGGTTGACATCTGCGAATTCCTAGTGTCAACAAAGTCAAAATCAACTTTTTTTATGCGCTTCATCCAAACCTAACTCAACAACTGCCAAAAAATATTCCTTTAACAAAGATAAATGTTAAAATTTACTTTCAGCATGAAATTTTCCCCTTAGCACTGACCAAAATTTCTCTTCCTTTCTCCCATCCATTTTTTCATCATAAATCAAAAAGCCATAAGAAAAGAATTCATGAATATCTATTCTCAATGTTACAATATTAAAAGAAAAGTAAGTAAAGTTTAAGGAATGAGAGTTGAATCTTGATTCATGCCATCTATGTCAAAAGTGTGAGCATAATCTGTTGTACGTGCTACAACACATCTTGCTCTCATTCCTTTGAAAATAATAAAAAGAACTCCTCCGCATATAAACACACACATCCATCCATCCGAATAAGTTCTTATCACAAATCATCAAAGTAGATTGAGGACGTAAGGATGTTACAAGTCTCTAGTTACTGTGTCTAAAATAGAGCTTTGTCTTTAATTATTTTCTATGAATATTATTCTACAGTTTCAGAGACAAAATACCACATTAAGTAGTTACTTCTGTGTAGGCGAATGTCTGTATGTGGGCTTTATGCATATATTTAAACAGATGAAAGCATTCAACGTCCCATCCATCATTTACAAAATGAGTATCTAAAAATATAATTCTTAAAGTCAAGGTAATAAAATTATATGGTGCAGCTTATATAATTCCTAAAATAGCAAGCATGATGAAAGGTTTCTGATGTCAGATGTTAGTTCAATGAAGAGGAGATAAAATATCATTTTAATTTGACTAGACTTTGAACTTTTGAATTCAGAAAGTACATTACAAGGCAAGACAACCGAGATCCAAACCCCTCCCTTGACCGAGATCCAACCTATGCCTTAACCAAGATCAAACTCCTACCTTGATCGAGATCAAACCCAAGTTGAATATTATCTACTCCTCAATTCTCCATCCCCGTCCTTAGCTTCATAATTCTTTATTTTCATTAATTAATGAAAACCATTTCATCCATACACAATTAAAACTAGTTTCGATTACTAACGTAAATGCGCCCAATCCTTAAATCCTCATCATCCATGCACCATCACCATTTTTTGTCAATTTAAAAAATTAAACAAACCGAAAAGGGACCATCTGAGTTTCACAGTCACATACACACAGAACAAAAAAGAAGCAAAAAAGACATCATTCGACAAAATTTATTTACATTCTAACGCTCATAAGTTACGACCATCATTGATATTAAAACACAATTTTCATTAAACTTTGTAGCTTCGTGTCTCTCAGTCAATGCTTACTCGAGCATAGATAAATCTTAATTTTGTAGCTTACACATATCAATATTAAATGAAAAGAAGCATTTATGCGTCCGTATTTTTAAGGCTCCCCTCATTTTTATGGGAAAAGTTTGAGTAAATATATTTATTTATATACAACACATATGCTTCCCGATTTTTCGAGATGAAAATTGAGTACGAAAAAGGCAATGAGGGAAAGGGATGTTGCTAATGGCGAGAAGAGAAATAGAAATATATCTTTAGAAACCTTTGGGTCATTAAAAAATGACGTCTACAAAAAAATTTCATTTCATGAAAGAGTCAGAGTGCAAAAGACCAATCAGTATAAAGCCATTCCTTTTCCCTTCACTCAACATTTGACTATACTCATTTACAGCCCCTCAAACATCATTTATGAACAAACCCCTTATTAGATGAAAAGTTCTTCAAGAAATGTGGAATAAAAGTTTTTTTTTCTTCTATACCTTAACTTTCTTCGGACGGAGTTTCT